ACACATTGCCTAGTGATTTCTAATGGTTTCATTATTCCCGTTAGTTTCGAAAATCAACACAAATAAATTGATTTATGTACACCTCCACACATTTTACATGAAAACATACACGCCACCTCAATTTATGCCTCTGTTTTTTTGTCTTTCCTGTAAGCTGTGCCTCAAGTAGGTAAAAAAGACATTCAAATGCATCCCTAATAATAGACATTTTCTTTCGGGCATGTCACTTTGTGGTGGGAAGAATTGATCTGTCACGATGAGTTTTAATGATTGTTTAGTTGCTTACCCTGACAATCAACTCCGCACGGCTGAATTGTTATTTTTTATTACATTTTTTTGACTATCTGTGCCAGTTGAGATGCATTACTGATTATTAGTACACAAAAGAATGTTGCTGCATTTGTATATAGATACAAAGCCAGTGTAAAAACCATGAATGACAGCAGTAAAAAGGAAAATATGCAAATGTAGTAATAAGAGTGCTTTCTAGAGCGTTTGTAATTCATCAAACTCCTCAAAAGCACTTTTAAGATGTTTCTACTCCAAAGCCTTCCTATGAAACAAAAAGCATCCACTAGGTGGATCCACCTGCATAATGTGCTGTTTATGTCAATAATGACTATAATAGCAGTGATTAGCAGCCATTATGAAATGAACCCTTGAAATATTCCTTTCATTTATGTAACCCAATGTAGTCTAATTAATTCAAGAATTTAAAATAAGTTATATTAAATTCTATTAGAATGTTTTGTGCTAATTTTGTTGTTTTGTTTAACCGACAAAAAAAATTAAGTTTACATTTTATTCATTTAAAAAAATGGAATTACTGATAGCACTGGCTATTGGTGTAGTTTTGGTTGGTTGTTGACAATGAAAATTAAGAGTGATCTTGAATATACATTTAACCTGTTTGTCTGTTAAATGTTAAAAGCCTGTTTGAAAATAAACTTAGTCTTGCATTCTCAACTCCTGATTATAGATTTTATTAAATTACATGTTAACGAACACCTTATGTGTCTAATTAAAAAATTTTTTTTTAAAATGCATTAATTTAATTAATACATTTTTTGCCTAATTCGTCAAAAAAAAAAAAAACTTGGTTACACTTTATTTTGCAGTGCCCTAGTTAAAGTGTAATTGTACATTTAAGTAGGCTACCGAGTAATATTAATTAACAACATGTAGGCTAATTTCTATAGGGTTAGTGTTAGAATTAGCATTTGCTTTAGGATTATTGCATGTTGCATGTAATGAGTAACAAGGGCACTGTAAAATAAAGTGTTAAAAATTGTAAAAGTTTATCTTTGTCTTATTTCATTTATAACATTATAGCAAGATATATAATGCAGACATGAACATTATGAGTAGATCATAACTAATAATAACATTTGCATTTCAAGCAAATCTGCTATCCATTCCACTTTTTTCTTTTTGGCTCTATATATGGGTCACATATATATAAAAAATTATTTATTTATTTTTAAGTAAAAAATGCTCATACCATGGTGCTATTTGTCTGTACTCTTAATGCAGTTAATAATGTTTTATTTTATTTTCATGATACTTACAGTATACTAGGTTTTTCAGGGGTGTTATTCATGACACTGTAAAATAAAGTGTTAAAAATTTTTAAAGTTTTTCTTTGTAATTGCACTGCAAGTATTATGCAACACCCTGAGAAAAAAAAATGCAAACAAACAAAGCATGCATAGCAAAATAAAACACATACTAAACCAAGAGCCAAAAAGAAAAAAGTGGAACGGATAGCAGATTTGCTTGAAATGCAAATGTTATTATTAGTTATTATCTACTCATAATGTTCATGTCTGATTGATGTTGAATCAACATTTAACATTGTAAGAAGCCTTATAAGAATCCTTTTATCTGGATTCTTTTTGTTAGTTTGTTTACTTTTTTAATGACTGTGGTGGCTAATACTTATTTACCAGATTTGTTTGTTCGCTTTTTACAAATAACAACTATGCTATTCGAAATCAGATTGATTGTAGATTTGTTTTAGAATCAGAATTATTATTACTAAGTATGATTGTGCACAAGGAAGTTGTCTGGATAAAACTTCCAGTGCACTGAAAAACAAAAAAGAAATAAAATAATTGTTCACGTACCTTTATTGTGGTTATTTTTGCTTATATATGTGTGTGTGTGTGTGTGTGTGTATATATATATACACAGTATATATATATATATATACACACACACAATATAACCTGTAACCCTGGACAACATCACCCGAAAGCTGAATAAATAAGCTTCCATTGATGTATGGTTTGTTATGATAGGACAATATTTGGCTGATATGCAACTATTTGAAAATCTGGAATCTGAGGGTGCAAAAAAATCTAAATATTGAGAAAATCGCCTTCAAAGAAGTTTTTGATCTACACACCTTTCACTTTTTAAGACTGAAACAAAAGATGGATTCATTGTTATTCTTAATTAAAAAGCATAACAACAATAAAACAGTAAGATACAAGGACAAACTAGCTTATAAAACGTTTATTAACAAAAACGAATAAGATGAGGCATGGCACGCACCACATGCTGTATTATATACCGACTAATAAATTACAGAACGTTTAGCAGACACTGAGGAATCCAATAAATAAATAAGAGAGCCTCCATAGCATAACGTGAAGTAAACAGCGAAGATAACAAGCTTTTCAAAATGAAAACAAAAAGAAAAGTAAAACGAAACTTGCTGTCGGTGACAGTGCTTGCATGTTTTTCCCCACAAGAATACCAACATGTTCACCTTTGGTTTAAGAAGCGGTCTTTTACTTTACTTTAGCACGAAACCCATCCAACGTTTCCTCAATATTCGCGTCATTTTTGCCGCACGCAGCTTCGCGCTCCTGACGCGGCGGGTATAACCCAGGCTCTACACTCGAAGCGCTGCGCAGCTCAAACGAGTCGCGCGGTTTCGTTATGCTTTCAGTTTCGTTTGCCATTTGATGTTTCTCATATGCAACAGAAATGCAGCGCTTATGAGTTGCGCCAGTGTGACTGCACACAAAATTTAATCACACCGGCTGAAAAAATGATGGCAAAATGCGCCCATTTGGTCGCACTCTGGAGCCCTGTGCTGGACAGTATTTATTTATCCTCAGTTGTTCAAATCGCGGTAATCGAATACGGTTATAGTGATAATTAAAATATGAAACGGTAATACTAACCGTGGGGTATTTTATCACTATGTATCGTCAAAACTTTAAGTAAAAAATGCTCATACCATGGTGCTATTTGTCTGTACTCTTAATGCAGTTAATAATGTTTTCTTTTCTTTTCATGATACTTACAGTAAACTAGGTTTTTCGGGGGTGTTATTCATGCCATTTCAGAAACTATAATTGTTTTGTCCTGTTTTACCACAGAAATGCAAAATGGATCAAGGAGGACTGAATAATGGCGCCAAGAGAGATGATCATTTGAATACGTTGGATTACAGCAACAGCCCAGTCGAGGGAATTTTACGAAGCGGAATACAAAGCGCCATGTCTGTCGCCCCCACCTCGCTGGTTCCTCAACCCAATCCGCTGATGCAGCCGGTTTCCGGGGACCTTCCTAATGGCCTGAGCAACTCGCCCACTCTGGAGGAGCACACCACCTCTGTGTCCTCCTCCCTTGGCATCTTTGGGGAAGATTCAGAGCTCAAAGTGTTTGGGAAGGAGCAGAGGGCTCAGCAACACCAGACCCTGGGAGCTTTCACTTTGGGAGACAGTTTCTTAGGACTGGAGGCCAGCATTGCAGACCTCAACAGCACTTCCCCTTCAGTGGACTCCCTGATTGGTGGAGTCGACCCCAATCTCTTTCCTTTAAAAACAGAGGACTTTTCCCCCATGGATAAAGGCGATATGTACTTTGACCAAGATTCCTTTGGGCCCATTGGGAAAGATGTTGATGTTGGCAATCATAAGCTCTTTAGTGACAACACTCTGGACCTCCTGCAGGACTTCGAGTTGGATGGATCGCCTTCCGATTTCTATGTGGCGGATGACGCGTTCCTCTCCACCATAGGTGAAGATGCTTTGCTCGGAGACTTGCCGACAAATACGGAGAGGGACTCAAAGGTTGCGGTCAATGGCGCGACCACCACTTCCAGCCCCTCCAGCATCAACACGGTCACCACCAGCACCAGCTTGCCCACTGTGAAGGTGGAGAAAGACTCTATAATCCAGCTGTGCACTCCTGCGGTCATCAAACAGGAGAACAACGGTGGGGCTAACTACTGTCAGGCGAGTCTGCACAGCACACCTATTAACATTTGTGGTGTCACCACTTCAAGTGGACAGAGCTTCCTATTTGGGACCGGCCCATCCACAGCTGCTGTCAGTCAGCAGAAAGATCAGAAGCCCGTCTTTAACCTGTACACTCCTGTGACCTCTTCAGAAGATGGTTGGGGCAGGGGCCATGGCTTTGGGAATGCAAGTGAAATGCAGCAGAGGGCCAGCGAATGCTTTTCCAAAAACTATACAAGCCCCTATGCCAGGTAAGCCTTGAAAGCCAACATGATGGTCTGTGCTTGTGGATGAACATGTTTAATGAAAGGTTCCTACAGTCATGGAACAGCTGGAAATTCCAGGGAATTTTCAAGTTAGGCCTGGGAAAGTCATGGAAATTACTTCAAATCTTAAGAATTTTATGGAAAAAGCATAGAAATGTTTGTACTGATTAGAAATCTGTCTTGTTGTGCTAAACTCTAAAACACCTTTTAATGGCATTTCAATTTTTCTTTTCAGTTTCATTTTTAGAATTCCAGTAAAATTCCAGTTATCACTATCAAAACTCATTGGTCAAAAGCGTGGCAGTGTTATTATTTATATTCCTTTAATAGGTTTTTATTCATATTCTAGAATAGCTTTTTGAAATTTGAAATTTTCGTTTCATTTTGTTCTGCGCTTTCGTCATTTTTATTAGTTTTTGTTTCTTTAAAGGTCCCCTGAAATGCTTAGAAACACGCAGCGTTACTCTAAGTGTTGACGTGCTGGTGTGAGCAGAAATCGTAATCGTATGAAATGTGCTCAGAGGGCATGACAGTAAGGCAGACTTTCTGTGGAAGTAATCTGTTAATGTGCTTCTTTTGTTACTGTACAAACGGTCTTGTGTTTACTGTAAGACAAGGAAGTCTGTACTCATGAAGGAGTTATGTAAGTGACATACATATCTGACAATCTCCACAGAGCAGGTCTCTACAGCTCGACCTGAAACCTGCTCATCCAAAACTGCAGGGGTTTGATGGATTGTTAATGACGTGTCAGGCATACAGGCTTTGAGGAAGTGTCTGCATATTTGTCATGTGAACGGGCCACTGGCGACACACCCACCTAGTTCAGCTTTTGCTAGATGCTTAAAATAAACACAAGATTGTTTTTCTAATGTCAGAGTCGTCGAGTTCAGATCAAATGCCAGTGTCCTCACTTCTCGTTTCAGTAATCAGAGCACTGATAACATTATGCAATCTTATTTAAAGTCAACAAGATATTGGAATCAACCCTTACTTTCTATTAGTGTTGTCAAAAGAGCCGGTACTTCGGTACAAATTCGCTACTAACAAAATTAAAACGTTATGGTACCAGGTTTTTTTAAGTACCGGTGGTACCGAGTACCCGGTTCTTGATGCACTATCCGAAAGGTGCGCAGATGCGCTCTCTTCATAAAAGCACTGAGACATGGCGACATCAAAAAGAGGAAACACACCAAACTAACAAAACACTTTAAAGACAGACACCCAGATCAAATGAAAGAGTTCAAGCAGGTAAGTTTCATTTTCATTTTTAATATTTAGATCTTCAGTGTTTCCCATGCATTGATTTATTTGTGGCGGCCCGCCACAATATCAACTGACCGCCGCAAATAGATTTTCCAAAAGGCTTTGACTTCATTGAATAAACATGAGCACTGCACTGCGGTTGTTTTTATATCACTGCATTTCTGAAGGAAACCGACTGTCTTCAGAAAATTATGGATGTCATTTTCATTTCATCTTGCCTGTAATACCTGAGCAGCGTTTGTGAGCGCAGCGCTTATTTGATTACAGCCGTTACCGGGGAAGCCTCGATCTCTCCCGCTCTACAAGCGCCTCCTGCTGGCAGAGAATTAATTTGCAAATAGAGTGCAAGTCTATGGGAAACACCGCTTCTGTTATGAATGTTATTCAATATTTTAATTTGAATGTCAGAATGAAATGAACATCGCTGTTATTAGAGTAGTTAATCATTAGCATAAGCGCGGCTAACGCTAATATAATGAGCATTAGAATGAAATTAAATATGTACACAGTTTGGATTAAATTAAAGTAGAGTCAAAATTTTTAATTAGCATGTTTTTGTGTTTTGCTTTGGTACCGAAATTGGTACCGAGAACCGTGGATTTTCACTGGTATTGGTACCGAATACTGAAATTTTGGTACTGTGACAACACTACTTTCTTTCTTTACTTTATTAATACATGTACCTGGTTTTATTGTGATCAATTCATTAGTTCATGTTGTTTTCAAAGAAACTTGAAGTTCAAAGAAAATCAATCTCTTTGTAATTTTTCATCATAATGTATAAACTGGTTCTGCATCTAAAATGACTTGTTGGCTTAAAAGTGCATGCTACTGTTTAATGTTAACCAATAGTCAAATAGCTATTTAGTAGGGATGTAACGATATTATCAATATTGTGATATCGCTATAGCGAAAGGGTCTCAATATTATTGTGGTCACATGATGATATGAAACGATAGGTCTTCTTGGCAAAAAGTGTAGTTTTTAAAATATATTGAAACTACTTATTCTAACATAAAAGGAGTTGAAAGTTGTGTTTTGGGTACATCACAGGGTTTCGGCTGAAAATCTGGCCCACTACGTAGTCAAAGTAAGATGAAAAACGTAGCAATAACTTGAAAGTGCCGCGTAAAATCATCTAAATAGCTAGTGGTTCTGGATAGAAAACAGTCAGTTTGTGGTTCAGTCATAGAGAGCAGGAACAGATGGTGAAACACAAGAGAGGTTCCATCTTTAATTTACATGTGGGCTCAATTATCAGGCCTTTGTGGTCTGCAGGTTTTGAGTGGGATTTGGGGTTGTTTGCCACTGCGTCCCAACCTGTGTGACATTTAGTGGCTTGCAGCCAGCTTAGACAGGAGCTGTCTCTCTCTCGCTCTCTTTGTTTGTCTGTCTCTCTCTCTGCCGTGTGCACGCTATGCGGCAAACATGGTTGGTATCAGGTCAGTGGCGCCACTTTTCTCATGCAAGCATAAATCGGTTCACACCCCTTTTGTCTTGTGACATGTTTTTTGCTTCTCCTATGTGACTCTTTCCATCACGAATGAAGATCTAATTGAGCCAAACCCTTTTGATATGTAGTGACTCATAAATTCTTCCTGAAAGCTTTTCTCAAATCGTTCTTGGCTTTATAGGAGTCAACATGCACAGCTCTTAGGCAGCTGTAAATAAGTAGCTTGTTTTCTCTTTCTCCTCCTAGTCTCTCCCTCCAGCGCACATACACAGAATATTTTTAGCTCTGCATAACCAGTCCTACAATGAGGACCTTTGGACGAGTGAAAATATAGATTTTCTGAAAAAGAAAAAAAAAGCCCAGAGGCTAATCTTTGAAATGTATGGAGACTGTCACTCTCTTCTGCAAACACTGTAAATATGGTTTATACAAAAACAGACTGCATTCATTTAAAGTTGAAAAGAAGCTCTATATTACTACAATGCAAGCACGCAGTTGCTTTTACTTCTTTTTGCCAGATGCATTTTACTTGGATGTAGGGATATGCCGGTATAAATTTTTCATGTTGCGATTAATTGCTCATGTTTTTATCACGGTGTATATGGTATTATCACAATATTGAAATTTAGTTGCAAAAAAAGTGTTGTCATAATACAGTATAACAGGTTTAATAACTTTTTTCTTATAACAAAAATAACTGAACATTTCAATACAATAAAGCAATACGCAAACATTTATAAAGTTAAACATTTTACACAGATTAAAGTGCAAAAGAATTATTAAGACCAATAGGTATCACTTTACAATAAGAACTCATTAGTTAACTTTAGTTAATGCATTAACATTAACAATGAGCAATAGCTACATTTGCTACAGAAGCTATTAATCTTCGTTAAAAAATACAACTCTTAGTTTATGTTAGCTCGGGTTCATTAAATAACACAGTTGCAACTTTTGATTTTAACAATGTGTTATTAAATATTGGAATTACCTAAGATTAATGAATGTTTAAATGAATTTTTTTTATTGGGAGTTTGTTTACTAATGAATTAACTAATGTCAAGTCAAGTCACCATTATTTACATTGCGCTTTTTACAATGCAAATTGTGTAAAAGCAGCTTTACAGTATTAAATGAGGAAATAGTGTGTCGAAATAGTGTGTCTTTCTCCTCTGGCCAGACAAACTCAGTTTAGATCAGAGTCAGATTGTGCAGAGGCTTCATCTGGTTCCCGTGGTCTTGTCCCAATGGCCGTCTAGGAGACGATATGGCTGCACGATTAATCGAAATTAAATCGCAAAGGCGATAAATCGCTATTAGGCAGAAGCTGCGATTGTAATGCGTATCTTTCAGGGAAGCACGGTTCTGTGATCAGCAGTAAATCTCCATCCGAAGGCCAGAGGGCGCTCTCACTCTGAAACTCCAAATACACCTCGCAGAAGAAACCCGCTGCAGCTGAATAAACAGAAGATTCAACTGCTTTTATTGATTCAACGTGACTACTAAACACATGACTACGACAATATATGGTTTATCCGAGTTTGTCTTATTAACTGTTATTATAATAAAGTATATAATAATGCAATGCTAATCGACACAGCCTTTATCACTGCTTAGAATAGTATGAAATATGTTGCATGCCTTATTCTGTGTAAGAAGCCACATCATCTCACAGAAGGATTTATTTCAGACACTCGGCTGACATTATGAAGTGAGTTTCGAGTAAAAACATGTTATTAAATGTGGTATTTTCATGTGCTTTCAGATGAAGCAGCATTTACTACACAGAGCCGTAGTTCATTGACAAGCTACACAAACATCTTTCATAATCTCAGAACGATTTAATTGATTTCATAATCGCGCGATTAAATCGTCTGCGATTATGAACATGATTTTGCGTAGCTTGTCAGTGAACTACGGCTCTGTGTAGTAAATGCTGCTCCATCTGAACGCACGTGATGGAGATTTACTACTAATCACAGAACCGGCTTTACTGACAAGATGTGCATGACAATCGCATTCGATTAATCGTGCAGCCCTAGGAGACAAAGTCTTCGGAGGGGATCAGTCTCTGGGGCACATCTAGATGTCCTGTGCTGATCCACCATCTGATCTGGATATGGACTGGATCTGGGTGGCTACGGTGACCTCGGAATAGGAATAAAACAGACTAAAACTAAATATTATCAAATGGCCAGAGTTTTGTGATCGTAGCGGACGTGAAGGACTATAATGAAATATATAAGAGCTCACTCAAGTACTGAGGAGCTGAACC